GCTAATACAACTTTCAATGTCATACATCGTGTGCGAAAAAAAAAACCACATGTAGCTCATCAATGCCTTCTCAATACAGCTGAGGCTATCACAATAAGACTGGTCAAATCTGAACTTTGCATTTAGAAAGATCATGTCTCAACATTATTTACCCCTTCGCCTTCAGTAACCTAAAGGTCACTCCTGTCTTCTTTGTTTTGCCGTCTTTTTGCTTACCATCACGTTACTGATCTGTATATATATTCTTAATATTGACAAATTTACAAAGAGAAATTAGTTTCCTCACAGTCACCAATTCTCACTCTAAATTGAACATATATTTGCCTCTAAGTTGGGTTTTTAAAAATGTAAAAATGCATTTTATGGCTATACAATCTAAAGAGAGTTTATTGAAAAAAATATTCTATGTTGAGACTATTGAATTTTACTAAATAAATCTTCTTTTGTTTAACCACTTTGTAAAATTCAGTCGCTTAAAGCGCCTGATTTGATTTACATGACTGAATCACCATCTATTTCTGAAGTCATGCAGTAGTGGAATTGCAGTAGGTCAGTGGTTTATATGGCACTGCCTGTTCTACCTACTAAAACTATTCAGGCTTGACCATTGATTAAAAGTTATATCCAGTTTATTGGAACAAAAACTTATTTAAATTGTGATTGACTTATCTATCGTGACTATGACAATAAGTTTTAGAAAAATCGACTGATCTGTTTTGAGATGGAAGTCCAATACACGTTGCAGATATGCACTGATGATGAATGTTTAGGTGTCGAAACTCAAGCGGTGCATTTACGTCCTAATCACTCATTATTTTTTAAATGAGTGATTATGTATTCACTATATATATATATATATATATATATATATATATATATATATATATATATATATATATATATATATATACGCTGGACTACGAAAAAGAACCTAGAAGACTTGGATTTCGCCGATGACTTGTGCCTAATGTCACATAAACTTGAAGATCTACAGGCGAAAACTAACAAGTTGATAGAAGAGGCCGGGCAGCGAAGACGGGACTTCAAGTGAATATAAAGAAGACAGAGGTGATGAAGATACCGCACCACCACCATCAACAACAACAACAAACTCCAGTCACCATCAACGGGAGAAACTTAAAGGAAGTAACCTCCTTCACCTATCTACGAAGCACTGTTTCAACTACAGGCGGGACGGACGAGGACGTCAAAGTCAGAATCGGAAACACAGCAAGACAGGCGTTCATTAGCCTGAACCCAGTGTGGAGATCTACTGCACTCAGCATGCGGAACAAGATACGGATTTTTAACACCAACTTCAAGTCGGTGCTTCTGTGTGGTTCAGAGACTTGGCGCATTACGAAAGGCATTTCCAATAAACTACAGACATTCATCAACAACTGCTTACGCTCGCTACTGGAGATCAGATGGATTGCCAAAAAGAATAAGCAAGAAGGAACTCTGGGAACGAACCAACCAACAACCTATCACGCAACAAATATGCAGGAGGAAGTGGAGATGGATTGGGCATGCACTGAGAAGGCCGACTGAGGATATCACGCGTCAGGCCAGTTGCTCGAGTGGAATTCCCATGGAAAGCGATGAGTTGGGCGTCCGAGGTGAGGGTGACATGGAGGAGGTCGTGCGAGGAGGAAATGAGAGCTTGTGGGCTGTCGTGGAACCAGGTTGAAAAGATTTCAGAGAACAGAGGTCACTGGAGGCGTGCTACTGAAGCCCTATATTTCATTAGGAACCCAAGGGACTAATAATAATATTATAATAATAGATCGAACAATTCTGTCCAGTAAAAACAATCAAGGATTACAAGTGTATCATAAACTTATACTCAATGTACAAGAGGTGGTTATCATTCCTTAGTGATCTGATGGATAGTACTTTGTCGTTTGACGCGATGGTTATGAGGTTCTCGTTTCAGTGGGAATAACGTCACTTATTGTAATGGAGGTACGTCCAGCTGACGAGTCTCAAACAGAACCGAACGCGAGTTCTCAATTCCTCTGTTAGCTAATAACCAAGTATATTTATGTGCACTGTTGAAAATTTTCGAAAATGTGAGAAAAACAGAAAATCCAGTATGTTTCGATTCAATAATAAATATGCTAAATTTATACGGTCTGACTGAAAGGATATTGAATAGTCTTAACGATTTGATGGTAGACATTAGCATGCCAAAATTTTCAAGTGCTTTAACTAATGTGAAAGTAATCCTGAGATTAGGAACAAAATCCTGATTAAGCAAAACTGTGAGGCGAATAAAGGTGTACACCATCATTAAGCATGCTAGAGAACTGTTTACTTCAACCTCCAGTGCTAGTCAAGTAGGAATAAACTAGAAGAAAGTTAAAGAAAGGTTAAATATAACCAAAAACTAGCCTACAAAGTTTCTAATTATTTACATGGATCTTCGGAGAGAGTACATTTAGATGAACTGAAGTCTTTGATATGTTATAAGACAGTAGTTAGATGATCTCAATGCAATGACTTGGGATTGATAGCGGTAATTTAGATGAGTTCATCTTTTTCAATTATCAAAATGTCAAAATCTTCCAGTAACCTTCTTTATTCTGTGATGTCTGTCCTAATGGACTACTGTTTATTTTACTGTCACCCCTCGTATATTCATTTCTTCTTTTTGTTCTGTGACTATGAAATATTAAGCGAATTTGCTTCTACGCCAGGTTCTATTGCGAACAATCAATCCGTTAATTAACTGGTATCTTTTTGATATCCCCTGTTTTACAACAATATGATTTCTCATGATTATTAGCAATAGTATTAATTGATTTACTAAGCAATTAGTTGATAACCATAGGTAAAGACAAGAAGAAAGAGATTTGAAGAATAAAATGATATTTATTTTCATGAGTACACCTTAGTTGCATACAGTCTAGAAGCACATTGGCTAACAGCATACAGGATATTTCAAAATTAAAGGGTCATAAATCTTAAATTATGCAGCGAAATCATAGATAATGCATGTAACATTCGATCGAACTAATAATTAATCAAATAAATAAATAAACAAGTAAGTTATGTAATTAAATTGAAAGAGAATCAAATCGTAATCACAAAGGAAGTGACTTTTGTATACAGAGGTCAGTTTGAAAGCGCTTTATAACATTGGCTTCCACGAAGTGCACTAATCCGCTCAACTATTAAAAACGAGAAGGTTTTTATGTATCTTAGGTTAAAGGAAGATGCAATTTACAGGAGAATGGCCACAAGAATCAAAATAGCACTAAGAAGAAGCTTCCAAAGGTTAGATCTGTATCACTATACAATACTAAATGCTAGCTAAACCTGTCACATTTGGATAGTTACTCTACTCATGTCAATCTCCTAATGCATCTACGAATTCACATGAATGGGTAGTAGCAAATAAATTGGGAGGACTAAGACGAGGGTGTCAATTTGGTTCATTGAACGAATTCGCAAGAGTCTGTACTTGGGAGGGATTAAAATCCTAATCAATGCGATCTATAGACCATTTGCAATCACAGAGCATTAGGTTGAAACCTAGAGTGATTCCAAAATAACAAACTGATAGAGATTGTCTGGATCCCTGAGTTTTAGGGAAGCGATTGCAATAAAGCGTCTTCAACGTGGTTAGTCTCTCACTCACTTGGTGAATACGATGTTATCCTGTTTCGTTTTTCAATTAAATTAAATTGAAATTAAATTAAATTAAACTCCCTACTTGCCTATTTATTATTATTCATTCTTCCTTACAGTTATTACCTCTTTACAACTAATTCTCTTACTTGGATTTTCAATGGCTTTGTTGTACACCTTAAGATTGTTGATTTCCTGTTGTTGAATTATTTTCTATACTAATAATCATTATACTTTTAAACTGTATGCAGCTGAAGAGTATTCTTGAAATAGAATGTTATCATTTTATCCTACAAATTTTGTCTTGGTTTTTCAAATTTATCAATGGATCTAAAGGCATGAGAATCATACACCAATTAGGTAAACTATAGCATTGTAGGAAATATTCTAAGCACTTGATTTCGCGCAAGAAATCTAATACTGTGATAATTTATAGTAATGATGGGCAGTGGCTAGCAGTGGAATTCAGGATGAGCATTTCGTATTATTTGGGACTCGTCAGCTGGATGTACCTGCCTCCCACAGAGTGGTGTTATTCCCATTGGGACTCCGACTCAGGAGCGATCGCTGTGATAATTTAGTTTCTTTTCCATGTTGTTATTCATCGTAGACTGACATCGGTTGGAGGAACAAACGAAACCTGGGAGCACTGGACAGCTGTTTCGTCCTAGTATGGGACTCCTCAGCAGTGCGCACCCACGACTCTACACCAGCAGGGATCGAACCCGCGACCTTCAGGTTCCGTGGCCAGCGTGTTACCATTGAGCCGCTGGGTCAGAATCCAATGCTCCATATTTCCAACTTCTGTTAGCTCACAACTTGAAATATTTCCAAATCTCCACAACTCCTTCAAAATTTAGTTTTTTTTATTATTTTCCGTTTGTTTACAACCAGTTCATGTTATTTTAAACAGTGGATGGAAAAAGAAGAAAAGGTGGAATAAGCAATCAACTATGATATCACATTCATTAATCTGTTTCTAACACTCCACTTTCATTCTACTCTGATATCATTCAACAATTATTTTTTCAAACAATATAATTAAATCTTATTTTCTATCTTTTATTGAATATTTTTTTAAGTTTACATTAGCTGCCACAAATAATGAACATTGATAATAGTTTTAAATTAAAACATATAAAATCTACATATTGAGTACTTTTAAACGCATCAGTATAGTTGTTCCTCAAAAATAAGGGAATTTTTTTAACACCCTCTTATAAATTATCTCTAATCTAACAAGTGTGTAATGCATAAAAATAGAAAGCATACACAATATCAGTGTTATTTACAAGGATATCAGTAAAATAACTAAGAGAAAAGAAGAGGTACAAAATATACTTTTTTTTCTTATAAAACACTATTAGTTATAATGCTGTAACAGTTTGTTTTGTATAATCAATACTACGTGAATTTGTTTTTTCTTGTTTATCTATACGTACAAATAATGATTCACTATCACGAAATGAACTATCAATATTTTCACTATTTTGCATTATTGTGTCTTCACCATAACTATGGTTATACAACTCTGAACTAGGTACACTTAAATTTGGTGATTCAATTGAACCTAAAGAATTTGTTGGTGAAAAAGATGATATATAACGGTTAGTATACAGGGATGATGTTTGTTGTAATGGGATATATTTTAAAGGATTATTATTTACTGAAGGTGTTTTGCCTAATGGATGATGACTAAAGTAATGTGGTGATTGGTTGAAATTTGAACTTTGACCTTGAGAATGTTGATCAATTCTGGATATATTCAGTTCAACAGGTGAAGTAATAGTAGAATTAGTGTTATTCATTCTATTTGTCATCATTATATTATGCATTGGTACTGAAGATGTTGTTATTGTAAATGTGGTTTTTGTTAGAATTGTTGAATTATATTGGTCATCATTCATATTACTGTCTTCATCACAATAAAGTGAATTGACAAGTAATAAACTATTTGGTATATTATCTAATAACAGTGGTGTTGGTGTGGGAAAATCACTATAGGATTGGTTCGATAAACAATCACTTTGTTTACGATTTAAATAGTTCATAAATAGAGTATTAACATAAGATGGTGATTGTTTATAATCTATTGTTGTTGTTGTCGTTGTTGATGTGGTGATAGTTGTAATTCTTGTTGTTAAAGTAGACGATATAATATGATCGCTAACAATTGGATTACAGATCACTTGAACTGATTGTGTATTCAATGAAATACTTCGAGATGGTTCATTGAAAAATTGATTATCTATAAGAAAAAGTAGCATAATTCTCGTTAGTTAGTCTACTCTACATACTGATTGGATTGATAATACTTTTTATCTTTTAAAATTCTGTCATACATCAAACGTACTTGTGGTATATAACTTAATGTTGCTTGAGTATGTATTTAAAGTTTCTTACAATAGCAAACAAAGTAGTTTTTTTCTCAAAAATTTTATCTTTCACTGTCAGACAAAACTGTTAACTTCTTACAGGTGGTCAGAGAATCACCGTAGGCATTATGACCACCGAACAATGCGTACCTTCATCTATGAAACTTACTTTCTCATGGCGTAGAAATGCGTGGGTCAGTTGATTGCCACAGGATTGTAAACAATTTAACATGTTATTATTCAAGGTTGATGGAAGACAATCAACCAAGTCTACTAAGTTATATGACATTAATATCTCCATGTATCTGTCTTAGCCAACTCATAATTAGTTGAAATTGTTTTACTTCACTAAGTGGTAAACAAAGCTGTCGCTCATTCATCATGCTAGTCAACGCCATGCAAGTGTATGTGAAATAGCATGTCTAGCGGATGCAAAGCACTTTCATGCAAATCATTCTCATAGCACATATATTGTCTATTTGAAGGAGAAACAACTTACTACAATAATGAATCATCTACGTCAGAATCTGACAGAAATAAGGAGACAAGAATTGCAAGTTAATGAAACAAACATTCATGGGTAATAAAAGCACAAGTCGCCTATGTATAGCAATGGGGAATTACAAGTAACAATGAACAAAAGCGATAGCGTTGCACAAGAGGTGGGCCTTGTGCTTCACTAACCTAGTGGATAAAGCTTTGGCGTTTGAAGCAACTGGTACCAGATCAAAGTCTAAATGGGAACATCACAACTCACTGGGGTGCAAGTACATACAGCTGAAGAACGTGCGTCCTATATTCCGCTACTAGTCAAAGGATAAATAATACGTCATAAATATCCGGTAGTATCGCGGCATCCATATAGATGCTCATCTGTCAACAGACGTTGAGCGATTCGGCCCTATATATCAACGGGAAATTATAGATATCAATAGACAAGAATACACTCAGTTGACTGAAATTCAAGTGCAGTCTTTATTGTTACCCAGTGTTAGTAGGGTGAACAAAAGGAAACTGTGGAATGCTGAGTAATTGTTTCACCTGATGCAGGCATCTTTATGTTGAAGTATCCCTTTCATGCATCAATACTACTTATATATTTCGATAATGCTGTCTATCTTGTCCTGAGTTCGATAAGTTACAGTTTGTGTATATACTGGCCTCAAAGAAGAAAATCAACAGTTTTTGTTAGCTACTGTTCTAGTGTCAAATTTCTTGAGTTTCTCGTTCAGTTGTTAATAATTTCATGTTTATGAATGACCTCCGAAAAGAGTAGAACTGTAGATTATCGTTACCTAGTTTATAAGTGATACTGACAAATTATTGAAATCAAAGTCATGTTTGAATTGTTATTCAAACTGACTTGAGGCTAGAAAGTACAACGAATTATATTACATAACGACAAAAAAGTACCAACGTCAAGTCAGTGCTCTTGTATGGCTCAGAGACTTGGCGCGTCACGAAAGGCATTTCCAATAAACTACAGACATTCATCAACAACTGCTCACGCTGGCTCGCTACTGAAGATCAGATGGCCAGAAAGAGTAAGCAACAAGGAACTCTGGGAACGAACCAACCAACAACCTATCACGCAACAAATATGCAGGAAGAAGTGGAGATGGATTGGGCATGCACTGAGAAGGCCGAATGGGGACATCACGCGTCAGGCCCTCGAGTGGAACCCCCATGGGAAGCGACGAGTTGGGCGTTCGAGGTGAGGGTGACATGGAGGAGGTCGTGCGAGGAGGAAATGAGAGCTTGTGGGCTGTCGTGGAACCAGGTTCAAAAGATCTCAGAGAACAGAGGTCACTGGAGACGTGCTACTGAAGCCCTATGTTCCACTAGGAACCCAAGGGACTAATAATAAAATAATAATAACGACAAAAAAGTATGCATGAATATATTTTAGTGCGGGCTCTTTGCCTCTTTCTCATGTCAACTGTTTTCAACTTTTCTAGTCATTATCTGAAAGTAAGTTGATTTTATCACCGTTATTTGTCCATAAAAAAATTGTTTAGTCATCAATAATTTTCGTTTTCTTCATTGATGTTTACCTTCACTGTCCAAAAGGTGGTGATACTCAAAAAAGAATCTTCAATTAGCTTTTATTTTGACATAAACAGAGCAATTTGGTAATTGTTATCTACTTGATTATCGATGTAAACAAATTCTTCAAATTTTTTTTCATTTCAAGATGTAAATATTATTCATAAATATTTCTTTGCAATAATTTCCTAGCTATTACGAAGACAATTACATTTCTTTGTAGCTGAAAATTAGGGTAAACTTGTGATTGAAATACTGAGTTTCCTTGTCTTTTGGCTAGGTTTCAAAGCACAGCGGTAAAAAAATGTCAACTAGACTTCACACCAATTATTAAATTATGGTGAATTGACCAACTTCTGTTTGCTCATGGCCTCCTTGAGCAAATGCTTCGGTAACGCCTAGGGTTTCATGTGGACACCATACTTTTTGGGGTGCTTCTGGAGTTAGATATCTATCTGAGGAGATCATTTACTTCATAACCCTCAAAAGTATCGTAAATTCTACTAAAAGTATTAGTCTTTGGTAAAACAAACAAAGTAGTAATATTAGTCGTGGGTAGTGGCTAATAGTTGAATCCACAGCGCACATTTCGTCCGATTTGGGATTTGTCAGCTGAATATACCTGTCTTTCAGTGTGCGATGTTGTTCTGTGTAAGACTGGAAGCAGTAAACGATTGCATTCTACGCCAGACAGTTACCGACTAAGCCACCGATTTATGACAGCTACTTTCTGTGCAACGGATGTCGTTTATATCGTAATAATAGATAACACAAGGGAAAAAGCATTTAAGGCCTCTTCCGTTTTGCTATAAAAGGGACATCAGAAACTGTACTTAGGATTCTCAGCAAAGCTTAAGTTAGGGTGGCATTCAAACTTACTGACTCACTCAGAGGTATGCTTTGTAAACTTAAGCATCCTACTAACCCAATTCGGCAAAGTAATTTTTCCTACTAATTTGCGTACAACGACTATGAGGTGAAGTACGTACGTCAAACAACTTGGCGTTTGAAGTGACAGGTACTGGATTCCAGTAGCAATAGGAATAACATCACTGACTGGGATACATTTACATCCAGCCGATAAGTCTCAAATGAAACGAAACTGGTGTTCTGGATCCCACTGTTAACTATCAAATAGATTACAATATATTGAATATCTGGAAAGTATCAAGGCTTCTACACAGGAGCCCATCTGCCAAAAGATGCTGATCAGTCCGACCAGATATAGCGGATGGAAATCATAAGTATCAATAAACTACATACATCAAACGTGCTTATCGAGGTCACTTAGATTATTGATACTTAGGAATTTTGGCAGGAGTAGAATGATAGATCCTAATAAGATCAATAATCTAGGAAAGACTAGGCTACTGAAATACATGAATTAACACACAGCCATACAATGGTATGAGATAAAACCTCTGTAGTTAGGTTAAATATAGTCAAGGAGAGAGATGGATTGATTCCTAACTAGTTTTGTCACTGAATCGACATCCAACACATGTAAGAAGAATGTTGCAACATCAATACTGGAGAAGTGGAAGAGTTTATTACCACTAAAAACTAATGACATGTATTGGAATGTAAGTTGATCAATTTGCTATAATTACAAATTGTAATTTGTGCTCAGGTAAGTAATACTATGCTAAGTATTTCCAACAAACTGGAGACATTCATCAACAGCTGACACCTACGCTCGCTCACTCGATACTGACACTGAAGATCAGATGAGATGGCTATAATGACAAGAATAAACAACAAGGAACTCTGGATGCATGGCAACGAATCAACCAAGAACCCAACAAATATGCAGGAGAAAGTGTAGCTGGATTGGATTGAGCATATACCGTTTGGGGACATCACGCACTAGGTAAGGCCGTCAAGTGGAACGCGCATGGGAAACGAGGAGTTGGGTGTCCGAAGTGAGGGTGACATTGATGAGATGATGTGAGGTAGAAATGAAAGCTTATGAGGATTCATGGAGCCAGGTTAGAAAAACTTCAGAGAACAGAGTGCAATGGAGACGTGCTAGTGAAGCCTTATGTTCCATTAGGAACTTAACAGAGAAATAATAATATAACAATGACAAACTGCACGTCATATCAAGTAAACAAGTCTAATATGCAATTAAATTCTACCATAGTGCCCAATTTCTACACCAACATTACTCCATACACAACAAAACAATTTAAATATGAGTTTCTTGTTTTGATAAAACAGGAAATATTGAAAAAAATAGTTATCAACCTTACCTGATTTTAAATAGCTTGGACTAGTCACATTCGACTGTGTTCCTCCCACTGAACAAGTTAATATTCCTTTATCTGAATCTGTTTGTACACCAGTTCTTGTACTACTACTCACTGTTAAACTAGTATTATCTGAAACATAACTGGATACATAGACACTTGTTGTTGTCATTGTTGTTGTTGCTATAGCTGATGATACTTTTTGTTTAACTAAATTAGCAAATTTTTGTTTAGCTGTCATATTATTCATTGTTAAACGTCGTACATTTTTTTCTGGATGTAAGTAAATGATGTATAATTTAGGAAAGAATAAACAACACAGCATAACACTTGCACTTAAATTGACAGATATGCATAACGTTGTAATTTGAATCTACAATAATTGATTTTTTTTTAAATAAAGAAAAATCAATAAAGTGATGATTAGCTCATTAAAATGAAAGTATACTCACAACATAAATTACTGTTAAATTGCCTATATGTTGAATTAACTTCATGAAGCCCATAAAACTGATTGTATATAACGCGTGTTTACTCAATAAATATGCAGAAGGAAGTAGAGATGGATTGGAGTAGGCATACACTGAGAAGGCCGACTGAGGACATCATGCATCAGGCCAGGCACTCGAGTGGAACCCAAATGGGAAACGACGAGTTGGGCGTCCAAGGCGAGGGTGATATGGAGGAGATGGTGTGAGGAAGAAATGAGAGCTTGTGGGCTGTCGTGGAGCCAGGTCGAAAAGATTACAGAGAACAGAGTGAAATGGTGACATGCTACTGAAGCTAGTGTTCCACTAGGTACCCAAGGGACTAATAATAATAATAATTGTATAAAATGAGCTTATCTAATATGGAATTACATTCTAACACAATGACCAAATTCTATATAGACATACTCCGTCCACACTGAAGGCAATATAGATGAGAATCAGTTTCTTTTATCAGTAGGTTTGATTTTCGACATTTTTCAGATATCAAAATGAAGTCACTGAAATATTCATGGTTTTGTAACTATTTCGTTTTCCTTAATTAAATCTTCTCGGTATAACCGTTTTTGTTTATTGAAAAGTTTCATCTGTAATTCTTTAGACGAAAACTATGATTATTCAACTATAGCAGGTGCATGTATCCTTTCTGTGGTTATTCACCTTTCTGAGTTTATTCATTATTCATTTCTTTCACTTTTGACCTCCCTATGGTGAAAATGTTGATTCTTTTCAAACTCCTACAATAACACTGATGTCAGAATAGGTAGGCATCATAAAATCTTTTTTAAACAAACAGAACGTTTGATTCACACTATACCACATTTAGTGAAGAACTTCATTGGTAATAAGACTAATAAGCTATGCTACTAATAAAGTTTCCTTTTATTATCGCTTGCCAAAGTAACTCTCATATGCAAAACGTTATTGGTTTCATTTAAATAAAATTATTTTAGAGGAAAGAGAAATAATCTCCTTTATAGAAAACCATAAGACTATGGTATTTTGTTGCATCCATTCATTAGCAGTATTGGTCAGTTACTACAAATAAATAAGGGTAGACAAAAATTCACAGGTGAGAAGTCCACAATGTTATTTCGCAATGGATACCAACCAGAAATCAATAAATAAGTCCTCACAAACCTCCAAACTGAATTACTCTTTAGTGCTTATTAGTGGCTCGCTTTGAGATGTGATTCGCAAAGTTCTAATGCGAAGTCTTAACCACTTAGGGGAAAATGATTAAGATAGAAGGAGAAGTACTCAACAATGATATTGGACGACGGTCAAGAAATATTAAAACCAAAAGAAGTAGAAAATTTAGACCACTAGATTCTAACTCACTGGCTCAATAGCAACATGCTGGCCACGGAACCCGTAGCCTGGTGAAGTAGGATCATGGATGAGTAATTTTGAGGAGTTCCATATGAATAAGAAACAGCCACCCAGTGCTCCAAGGTTTCCTATGGTTTCTTAACTGATGTCAATCCATGATGACAGATATCGACGTGAAATGTATAGTCAGTTGGAAAATGATATTATTGTAATCAGTCAATCCCCAATTCAATAGGAAAGTAGAGTGGTTATCCATGCTGTCTGAAGGGCCATATTCGGTTGATCTCTTACACGTAGTTCACTTCATATTGTATGTAATAGTCCTATTCACCATGAAGTAAGGTTCTATGATATTGAAACAATTAGTGTTAGATCATAAAAGGTGATCTGAGAAATACTGTCAAATGAATTTTGTTGCCTGACTACCGAACTGAGTAGATTTCATGAAAATTCTTTAAATTCTATTGCTAAGTAACATTTTATATTGATTTTTATGCAGTGAATAAACGAATAAACCAGGGCGGAAACCTGGTGCTTGCTGGCTTGAATTCTACTGTGACCCAAATTTTCATTTCACCTTCAATTATCACCATTATTAATACTACTATCGTGCCAAATTAGTCAAAATTAGGATAAAGAAGCATTGAATAAAAGGTGGGCAAAGAAGGAGTTACTGCCTGAATTCAGTTAATTAACTCGAGTTATCTTCAAAGGATTCTTTAACAGCTCACTTTGGTGTATAAAAACATGTTCAGGATATATATATATATATATATATATATATATATATATATATATATATATATATATATATATTTGTTTATTTAATATTATAATGCTGCCGTTAACATTATCAATTTTTGCGGAAAGTCAACAATTCCTATGATACTGTATTTGTCATTTTGACGTCATGTTGCAACAGCCTTATGCAAGAGTGAAGATTTTCCATTGTTATATAAAATGAAAAGTCAACAAAATTATATTGTTAATTGTAAAACGATGGGACATTTGCTTCATGAACCACTGCAGTTTAAACACACCGCCCACAGAGTAAAAACTTTATACTTTGTACAGCTGGTCTGTGTAACTATATTTCTAGGTGAAAGTGCCTCAGGCATGGCGATAAAAGTAGTGGATATAGGAAGAGTTTTATCAATTTACTTAGTGGCATAAGGATTAAAGATGATTCGAATTTCAGTGATCATAAAGATACTTGCCTACAATCATACCGAACAATTTACGACATCCTGTTGAGTAAATGCAAGACGATGCTTTTGACCACTGCGTTTCAACTCAAGTCATCATCTTAATTAAACGAAGCTCTTCCAAGAATTGTGAAACAGTTGTTGAGATGTGACTACTCACAGAAGGCAGTGATTGGATAGAATCAATCTAACTAGTAGTGTATATCTCTCAGAAAAACGTTTTCGCATGCATTAATAATTGAGTTATTATTTTTAGTTGTGGTTAGAGCTGAATGCTACAGCATGTGTTCTGTCCAACTGGAGACTCATCAGATCAATCATTTGCATTCATGTTCCAAATAAGATTGAATCTGATTCCTATACTCGACTGCCAGTCTTTACAAAAGAATGAAAAGTTGTTCAATAAATGTAATCTCCCGTTGCTATACTCGGTCGAATTGCCCAACCTCTGTAGGCAGATGGGTTTCTGCGTTGATGCTTCGACGCTGCTCAGTTACTCAGTAGGTCGAGTGATTCGACCCAGTATAGCAACGGGAAATTACAAGCATGAATAAACAACAATTTATTGATACCCGTAGCACAAGTGGTGGCTCTTGAAACCCCCTGGCCAAGTGAACGGATAACGCTTGGACGTCTTAACCGGTGGATACTGGGTTCGAGTCCCAGTAGGTTCAACATTACTGACTGAGGTCCAGATAAATTGAGCTGATAAATCTCAAATAGAATGAAACTTGAGTTCTAGATTCCACTGCTAACAACCAAGCAGATAACTTCTGAAAAATGTTTTCACGTATGGAGAGGTTATGCGATAGAATTAGTGAGCTCGATGAAAAACAGGTAAGCTTATCTGAATTAAGTTCTCAACTTCTCTTTTCATACCCACTCATGGGTAAATTGAATCAGTTGAATAGCTAACCTATTAAAACATATACATTGACTGAAAGATGAATATTGTTCAAGCACATTTATTGTTCTATTATTTACACTCCCTTATAGGTTGGAAGGGAGGACAAGAAGGCTATATCTCTGCAATGAACTGAATAAACGTTTCCTGTGTTCTAACTGACTTTTGTTCAAAGCTAATTGAACTGTTTTGTAATGCAGTGAAGTAGCAAAAGCTTTAACTATTAACAATTACCTACTATTTGGATAATAATAATGAAAAGTTTATAAAAGAGACAAACTTTTAAAAAAATTACAGTAGTAATAATTAACTGTTGCCATCATTATTACTGTCTCCGATGAATGAACTAAAATCTGTCTGCAAGAATGATTGCTATTTCAATTTGTCATTCTTAGGCATTGTGTTTTTATTTGACTACCTCAGTTTATCAGCCACAATAGTGGCAGTGATTGAGAAGTTGGGGGGGGGATGGGAAGGAGAAAGGGTAGGAGATATACACATTGTTATCATGATTTTCTCATAGAGAACAGTTGTAATCAATGTTTTACTGAATGGTTTATAGGTGACTCCACTTTAAACAAACCTGAAACGTGTTGATCGTCCTGTTGCTTTTCTATCTCTTTTTTGTTTTGAACTTACAGTCCCAACAATCTGTCTCTTTAGTGATGGATAATGGCTAGCAGTGGAATCCTGAATCCGCATGTCGTCCTATTTGGGACTTGTTAGCTGGATATGCTTGCCTCCTAGTGAATGATGTTGTTCCCACTGGGACTGGGACTCGCAACAACACTAAATCTATCTCTTTATCATTAGCAAGGCTTTCCAGGTCGAATAAAGTAGGTGAAAATAATTTTCCCCTTTATTTAGCACCGTAAAGATTATCAGCAGATAGCAAAATAAGAAATTGCTCGCAACTGTAGAAGCCTATGCTATTAATAATAAAAATGATATTTTTGGTTTATTCCGAACTGCACTTATGTTCACAGTTAGGAATTCTCAGCATACGATATTGCATAAGTTTACTATCTGCACAACAGTTTTCAAACATATATATATATATATATATATATATATATTAAAAATGGTGCTGTTTAACAATTTGTCATCAAGAAATACATAGTTGTCGAATTATTTAATAACCTCAGCGATATAACCACTGTTTACCATTGCAAAGTTGATTGCCAAGACCTATGGGGTCAACCAGTCAGAAGTCAAGCGGATGACAGCTGAAGACGTTGGATGATATATCGCGAATTGATAGCAGTAGGAAACGAAAGGACCACTGAACGCCAACCCAGTGTCTGGATGATAAACATTTCTGCAGTGAAACTATAAGGTACTGAATTGGATCCTTAGTGGGGTCGTGGTTGTGTACTTTCGAGGAGTTTCATACTAGGACGAAAGAGACGTCAAGTGCTTCCATTGCGTGAACACTGCTATCATTATCATCACTATTTTCCTATCTGAAGTCCACATGTCTCTTTAGACTGCATTACCATTCAATCTCATAAATCAACACTACATTGGACAAAGTAGTCACCCTCTTCGTCTTTGTCTGCATAAACACCAGCTGGTTATTAAACATCACGACATTGCATCACTCATTTTAATGCACGTGGATAACAGCTATGGACATAAATTCAGATTCGACAATGTTGAAGTTTTAGAGAGGAAACACAAAGAATATCAGAGAATTTCTAGAAGCCTGGCATTCAGGTCAGTCAGCAGTCAGTAGATGTATATGCATAGAACCAATCTATCAAGCAATGAGAAAAATGATAAACGACAGAGAGGTCAGAGGTGAAGAAGTAGACAACAGGAAAATCTGTGCAGTCAGTGACAAAACAATCGAAGGAGACAACCAATCACAGATCATTTCTTCAGGGTAAACTACTAAAACACTCACGGAGAGATACTGACAGCTCGCTTCCTACTGAAGATAGTGGTGGTGATGTCGTCTAGGAAGATGATGAAAGCTTCACGACTAAACTACCCAGGTCAGAGAACACAATGCAACTAAGACCATCCACCTGAGCTATAAATATTCTCCACCATTTCAAAACTCATAAGTAATTATGTAACCTATCCGCAACCCATTCAATTTGAGCATCCACCCGTACCTTTTGTATTACCCCTTGACCTATAAACACTGTTTATTTCTATGTTGTTACACCTAAATCGACATCTCAGCCAGGGTTATATAAGTATGTGTGTATTTTCTTTAGCATTACCTAATGATATATACAATCAAGTAAGTGGAGTCTTCAGCTGATGAGTACTAACGAAACTTATGAATGCATAAAATCCCACCTTACTCACATTCGCTGCCTGTTGTAAATTCGCAACGGGAAACAAGTGTCTTCTCTTTATTCCATTTTAGTCTATCTATTAGAAATGTCACAGTATCTTTTACTGGATAACGTTTCCGATATAATTTAGTCTTCATATTCATAAAATATATGTCCACAACTTTGCGACACTTTTAACAAACAGACTATTTATTTGTTCCTTGGATTCCTAGTGGAACACTAGGCTTCAGTAGCACGTCACCATTTCACTCTGTTCTCTGTAATCTTTTCGACCTGGCTCCACGACAGCCCACAAGCTCTCATTTCTTCCTCACACCATCTCCTCCATATCACCCTCGCCTTGGACGCCCAACTCGTCGTTTCCCATTTGGGTTCCACTCGAGTGCCTGGCCTGATGCATGATGTCCTCAGTCGGCCTTCTCAGTGTATGCCCACTTCAATCCATCTCCACTTCCTTCTGCATACTTGTTGGATGAGGCGTTCTTGGTTGGTTCGTTGCCACAGTGAGTTCCCTGTTGCTTATTGTTTCTAGCCATCTGATCTTCAGTAATGAGCGTCGGCAGTTGTTGATGAATAAAGTGAGAGTAAAATCTAACACAGGTCCCAAAGTTTTACTCTTCTCTTCATTGTTTAATTATCTGGGATCCAAAGATGCCGTTGTGTGAATGACAAAGAAAAATAGGAACTGATGTCATAAAATTATGTGACTGGAATACATCTTAGTGCAATACGCAACAGCTTACACTAGATGCTTCAGTAACACCCTGTATATAACGCAGTCAAAATATATGTTAAGTCAATCAACTTATTTCACATCTTGAAGGTAAATTGGCTCTTATTTTTTAATATACTTACTGCTGATTTTGATGAAACATCACAGAATTCATTAATCTTCGTAAAATATGAGTGAGCATTTTGACATAACTACTAAAACTTTGATAAACTAGGCAGATTGTGGTTATGTTAGAGTGCACTTTGAGTAGTTAAATATTTCCTTTCCTGAAATTACATACTAACATAGTTTAACACTTGCCAATTTAGAATTTTGACTTTGTATAGAATCTAAAAGTGCATTTATTCAAGTCTACACCGATCCATGTTTCCTCTATACATCCGCAGAAATCAGTATTTACAGGTGACTTAGATCAACTAAGTCATTTAGAGCCAGCTGATTATTACAAATCAAAATGTTTTGTTAACTTTCTTTCGAAGAAATGTTAAAATCAATGTGAATTATCTCAAAAATGCACATTTTGTTTTATTTATTGAAGGCTAAATACAGCTATCTACACCTTTGGGGTAATAACCAATAGACAAAGTGTATATATATCCTCTGTTAGTTGAATGAAAGCAATCGGTAGTAAGCCCTAATCAACCTACGTTTCATGCTTTTTGTTACTTGACAGTAAGACACATCTGCAACCTCGAAAGAATTGTTGTCCCACTTAGGACCAGATAACGTGAATTTAGTTACCCTTCAGTGACCAATCAATGTACCTAGTCTAGTTCTACATGACTTCAGTCGCAGTCCGAATATCTCAATGGTAACATCTCCATTTCCAGAACTGCATGAAGTGGGTTCAAACATTAAGTTGGACAACAGTTCCATGGAGGTAGGAGATAGGCCCTGTTGACAAGTTTCAACAAGCAGGAAGCCTAGATGGAGCAGAGCTTCTACTGATCGCCTCCATTCAACTTACATCTACCAAAGTGCATCGCGATGCTGAATCACCCAGCCTGGTAGTCAAATTGCAAAATCATCAACAGAAGTTGAACAAACAACATGGTGTTGGTGACGCTTTAGTGACCAATCACTGTATATGTTTCCTGTACTATGGTAAAAATTATGGTCATTACAACGGTCGTGGTTATTGGTAAAAAACGTACATAAAGCAAACTATAGCTTTTTTGATGTTGTTGTAGGGTTATTCCCTCTAGGATGAATATATGTCGCCAAAGTGTTGATATGAGATGTATAGCCAGTAAACTTAAGTTATATATATAACTAACCAAGATGAGTAGTTCCATATAAGCTATTGATTTCAAGTTTGAGTACTCTTGTTAAGCTGTACGAGAATGTACATTTATCTTTGCATACAAATAGGTCAACCAATAGAGATAATCTGCGTAGCGGTTTAGTAACTGCTGCTTAGCAATGACAGGAGTCTATCATATCTACAATGCTAAAACCGGTTCTTATATTTCATCTAGCCTAACCGGAGGTCATTTGCAACGCGAATGACTTCTTCTGAAGTTTTTGTCTTGATCACTGAGTGTCTCAAATTCCTTATGGTAACGCATACAAGTTACCACAAGCAGGTAACCTTAGTTCAGAATCTTCAGCCAATCAGTTACTGAAGTTTTGTTTCTAGCACGTTTTTGAAACAGGTTGCATCTGTAGCGTCATTGAAGATAAAATTTTCATTAATATACTCACCAATAACCTACTGATATTTGATGAACCGTAATTGGGAAACAGCTGATCGAAATGCGCTTAAATATTTATAATGGAAGTGGAAATGTTGTCGTCTCCAAGATATTGTGCATTTTTGTGGATTAAAAAAGTTTAAAGTATTTTCAGAACATATGGAAAGTACATGCTTTCTCTTATGTAAACTGTACTTCAGAATGTTAGTGGACAACTAGTAAAAAACATTCACTTTAAACGTTTGGTAAATTTTTTTTACAATAAACTTCCAAAAGGCTAAAAATGGCCTAACTCTTTCGAAGTAATTTCCATCATGAATTGCTGTCATGCGAAGAAGTTCAGGAAACTGAGAGGTTTGGATAGAGGTTTTATCTTCTTATGGCACTTATCAATAGTTTACACCTACAGTAAAGCAAGGGATCGGGCCCAGGACCATCTTGTCACGTGTCTAGATCGTTAGCATTCCGATACGGGGTTGTTATCGGATACCCCTCTAATTCCTACATCTGTTAATTCTTCAGGTAACACAACCACCATCCAGTACCACCAGTCGGGTTCTGCCTCACTCTCTACATGATTAACGCTACAAATCACGAGTTATCATAAGAACTTCAACAGATCCTTTTCAAAGTAATTAAAAAATAAGCACTGCATGTTAATTCTTTTGTTTTCTTGTGAGGAAGTAGCTGTCGTTACTCAGTGGCCAAATGGTAATACGCTTGCCTTTAGACTTCATAGTGGTTGGCTACATCCCTCATGGGTTTGTGAGTGACTACTACTAATGAGTGGCCTACTATGATGGGAAAGGTGTTCTGGTCCTGTGGGTTTTCACTAGCTCTCCAATTGATCCAAACTTTTGATGAAAACTACCTTCACATCAAGAAATCCTTAAAAGTTAACAACTAAACAAAATGTTTCTAGTAATTTTAAAGCATTAACAGTGTTTAAAACAGGTGAAATACTCACTTGATGACTACTAATTGTGGCATAATACATTGGTAAAAATGCTAACCATATAATACAAGTTGTGTACATAGTAAAACCAATAAATTTGGATTCATTAAAATTTTCTGGAATCTGTCGGGTCTTTATAGCGTATGCTGTGCAGACAATAATTAAAATCATATTGTAAGCTAGAGAAATCAAGAAACTTTTATCCTTCATAGCACACCGAAGAACTAAGTAGCCTGGACGAATCTCATCGATACGTGTATCAGGTGAATCAAATCCAAACCATATAGCTGACAAGGATAATTGTAATGCGATCAGTGAACCAGCAATTGCAAGTTGTGATCTGGGTGAAATATAAACAGGACGTTTAGTAGTACGTTTTGCAGCATCAAATATCCTTGCTATACGATTGGTTTTTGTGAGAAGTGAAGCATACATCATAGCAAATCCAAGACCAATAAGGATTCTTTGCATTGAACATGTGAATATCGATGGTCTTGCTATCAAGATGAATGTGCACGAATAACAGACTAGGCATCCAGCCAACTGTACATAGGCAAGTTCACGTCCTGTAGCTCGAATTAATGGTGTTTCAGAATAGAGAACCCAGGTAAGTATGATGCCAGTAGTGATTAATATGCCAAGACTACTGAAAGTTATTGGAACTATTGCAAACCAAGTCGAGATATCGATATAATGCAGCTGTAAATAGAAAGGAAAAAGAGGTTTCAAAATAGAAAATAAGGAAATAAAGCCTTCAAAAGCTAACTGCACCTTTCCCTAGATTTAGAAGATATCAAACTGGGGCATATTTTATCTGATTGGAGATGATAAAAATGATGACAATTACATTCTATGGTTTCTTCGTTGAGCTTGCTGGTATTTCTATGAAGCTGTCATTATCTTGCTTCTCAACAATATCATCGCCGTTGGAATCGCTTACAGACAATGTCTGCTTTTTGTTCTACTTCAAATAAAGAAAATCGTAAGGTTTTAACCATTTTGAGTAACATCAATTTCTTAAGCTAGAAAATATCCCTTTTTGAATAAGTGGACTGAATCAGGAGTTGCATCGATAGGTATTAGATAATCCATTGTAAATTCTGAATATTCCGACAACAGATGTAGGGTCTTTGAATGCGTAGATAGTTTGTAGACCATTAGAAAAATTCACAGTCTACTTCAGAAGTTTACAAGCAGACAAAAAGGTAATTTAGTATTGCAGTAGGCATTGACTAGAGGATAGTAACTGAAATGCACTGATACCTCCTAACTTCACATAAGTTGTCAGTGCGAAAACTTTTTATTCCAAGATATATTCGAATCAGTGACTAACTATACTGGTGAAGTGCGTGGCAACGGATGAGATATGCTCCTTCGATTTGACTACTAGCCAACAACCAGCAAATAACAACAAATGCACCGACACCTGATCCAATATAGCGTTTCTTAAGAGATAGATACGTATTAGGATAACATGAAGAACAAATCTTGCCGTCTTTCATGATCGAAATTATCACTTTTAGAAATACACTCAGTCCACCTAAAATTCAAAAGCCATTTGAGTGAACAAAAGGTATTCTCTTCAACAAATTTTCCTTCTTCAGGTCCTACAGTGATATGTACATATTGAGGAATTATGCACCAACAATATTGGGATTCCGTTTATCACTTTGATAATAATAGTATGCAGTCGAGCAAGTCAATTCAGAAAAGTATTATGCCAACGTTAATGATAGAATCAACTGTTACTGGGACTCAGTTCAAAATTGGAGTAAGTAATGCTGTAAGGTGATTATTTAATAAAACAATAGGAAGGTGTTTATGGAAACTGGATGATAGATTCCTGTAAGGTTTTTAGGTCAGCCTATGAGTTTGATTTTCCGTGCTTGCAAACACTTTTCCACTAGGTTAAGTAACGGTATGATAAAGGCCATCACCAGCTCCATATTAGCCCACTTGATTGAAACGAACCATGAGGTGGGAATGAAAGTGGTTTTCCGTTATTTACCCCGTTCCCTTTAACTCGCCAAAAGGTATCCGGCTCAGAACCCTTCAAACTGCGAAGACAGTAGCAATCAGAATCGAACAACCTGAGTTATGCTTTCAACAGCAGCAAGCTTTTTCACTACAACTACCATGGATCAATTCGAGACGCAAAAATTCTTTCACATGCTACTCTAGTTAATCTACCATAGATATCCTTTCATCTCTATAATATGAAATAATATTTATGAATTATTCTGGCCTATTTTGTCCCCCAACATGAGCAACACTCTATTCAAGTATTACTTCTCAAATTGACCTTTTAAGTTTGTTTCATCCAGTTTCCATAAACACCTTCCTATTGTTTTATTAAATAATCACCTTACAGCATTACTTACTCCAATTTTGAACTGAGTCCCAGTAACAGTTGATTCTATCATTAACGTTGGCATAATACTTTTCTGAATTGACTTGCTCGACTGCATACTATTATTATCAAAGTGATAAACGGAATCCCAATATTGTTGGTGCATAATTCCTCAATATGTACATATCACTGTAGGACCTGAAGAAGGAAAATTTGTTGAAGAGAATACCTTTTGTTCACTCAAATGGCTTTTGAATTTTAGGTGGACTGAGTGTATTTCTAAAAGTGATAATTTCGATCATGAAAGACGGCAAGATTTGTTCTTCATGTTATCCTAATACGTATCTATCTCTTAAGAAACGCTATATTGGATCAGGTGTCGGTGCATTTGTTGTTATTTGCTGGTTGTTGGCTAGTAGTCAAATCGAAGGCGCATATCTCATCCTATTTGTGACCTGTCAGCTGGATGTACCCCAATAAGTGATATTTTTTGCATTGAGACTTGAACTCAGCACTCATTGCTTCAAACGCTAAAGTGTTATCGACTTGGCCAGTAAGATACGACAGACATCTTTCCATGGGAGTAGCAGTTAGGATTATTTATGTATGCTTGTAATTTCTTGTTATTATTGAATGAGAATATTACTCACTAGGATGCAAATATATACAACTGACAAGTCTCAGATGGTACGAAATGAACACCACGGATTGCACTACTAGACACCACTAGCCAAAATACAACCTAATCAATAATCAGGCAGTATCGAGGCATTAGCATACAAGCCGTTATGCTAACAAAGGTAGATCAATTTTATTCAGAATAACAACGGGTAATCACAAGTATCAATAAATAATAATTCGGAGGTTAACGCTAAAGGTACAAAAGGTACAAAAAGGCACAAAAGATTACCAACGATGCTAAAAAACACAATCTTTTGTTGACTAATTTTATTTCTTCCGAATATTTGAAGTTGTCTGTTGCTTAGGCATCGTCAAAAGAAACCCCTGGATTGAGGTAAAACAGGTCGAATTGTAAGCCCTTGACCTATATATCACCCAAAGAATGCTAAAATTCGTCTAGAAGAGTGTTGAAAGTGAATGAAAAGTGCGCTGGACTTTTATTTTACAGTTCGTTTTTGTTTTTTACGCTCTCAAAATAGAATCCGTGCAAGGTGATGGACCAAAACCACTTTATTAATATCTTGTTACCTGTCACATTTCTTGGAATTTACTAATCTAACAGCCTACGATTCATAATTTGTAGGCATTAGTTCTCTGTTTAGAAAATAGGAATGTGAAATTAGGGATTTCTATATGTTTTTATGAGTACTAAAAGGTTGAAGATATGTGCACTGTATTCTAAGGTCGATAAGTGCATCCTTCATCGTCTGCTTAAAGTCAAAGTTTTCAATGAATCAAAGACATTCCAAGAAAGCATTTTAAATATCACTGTTCACTGGCTTTCATTTGTACTGTAGTTGACTGGATGACATTACTGCCAGAACCTAGTTTGAGAGAAAATAAATTCCTTATATCATATTTTTAGTTGACGAGACGAATGCCTTTGTAACCCAGGTAGCTGTAAATTACTTCCATAGTCTTTAGGGTTAATATTTGACCTCATAAAGCTGAGTAAGTTGAACATTGGGTGAATGAAATGTGTTTGTAAAATCCCAATGAGTCAAAAAAAACCTTCGACGTTTCGTGACCTTATGGAAATCGCTTCTTCAGAGAATAAAACCTATAAAAGTTACTGTATTTTTAAATAGTAAATGAAGACAAATCAGATCACCTTGTTCCTGCATGATAATAACATAGGAATAAGCTTCATTGTCATCAGTTATTAGTTCTTGAGTTCAAGGAGATGTGAATGTATATGCACATATGAATGGTTGTGGTGAGAGAAAAATACAGTAGTTCTATCATCCCACTGACGTATAACAGAATAGCTACTAAGAAGTTTAGGAAAACACTGATTTAGAGCCTCCTTCAAGACAATTAAAACTCTCAAGAATCATTTAGTCCACTTAAAAGATAACTGCACGGAATTATGCCAATTATGATGCTTAATATGTTGGCAATTTATCCCACAAAATCGCCATTCGTGGTAAAGAACCTGGAAGTTACACAAAATGATTGTCAATAATCCTGTAGAGATAAAGAATTTACAAATGAAATCCTCAGTTGCTATTCCTGACAGTCATAAAATTGACAGTAAAATTATTCAAAAAAGATTTTCAAACAACATTGAAAGACGGGTAGCTGAAGCATTTTGCATGATGTTGAATTTTAATGCCTACAATAGAAAGACAGGTTCAACTATCCCACCAGCTTTGACAGTATATCCAACATAACACGTTGAGCACACTGATAATGACTAAATTACATACACAAACAAACTGACTTCTTCATTAATAGTATTTTCCTCAGTTGTGGACACATTTACATCTTCACCTTGACTTCATGGACTAACATCTGATACCAATGATATTTATTCCTATATTATTATTAGGTATGTACAACATCATCTGATTTGTCTCCATTTACTACTTTAATATGCAATAAATCGTTTGAACGGATGTTTCTCTATTTAGTGCTAATAGTCTTATCAAAGTTATAGTAAACCGGAATTTACAATATCCAAGCTCATTCATATATGATAACTTGACAAGTGTTTTTCTGCATGAATGATTCTGCGTCGTCAGAATTATAGAATATAGATGATATCCATATGTAGTGTGTTGTGTATGAAGACTGTATGAATTGACGAAATATACCCATTTATTCATTAACAAGAACAAGGCATGTTAAACTTGCGCAAGCGAAAACTGTAAATTGCAGATTGGGATTTGTGTGTACACAAGTGTTGATGGCTTTTATCGCATGTATGATGGTTATGGTTATAGGTGGGTTTACACCGGGTCAACTTATATTTTACCTCCTCATTCCTATTTGGACAATTATGGTTCCACATAGTAAGAAGAGATTCTGTTATGAGACTTTCTTTATAATTTCCAAAGCCTTTCTGAATAATTTCGATATTATGATATTATTATGGCTGGATTCGGTCCAGATTTTCGTCTCATCTTCAATCATCACCCAGTACAAATTTCGATATTGTCAAAATCGACCTTGTGAACTACAATTATAGCATGTACATCTGTGGCTGATGTGTTATCAAGCTTTTTCAGTTCCACTGGATTTCTAGGGGATCGAGTGAAAACTCTTCGGTGTTGATTTTTTCTGATTTCGATTTCACGGGAAGTTTGTCGTATGTATATTGTATCACACTCTGGGCATTTTATTTCATAAACAAAATCAGAGGGGTTTCGTCCTTCAAATGCCCAATGACCAAATTTTTTTAAACCATCGAATCCCGACTTGGTTTGGATATCTGTATAGGTTTTATTCTCTGAAGAAGTGTTTTTCACGATATTGCAAAGGTCGGAAATTTATTTTTCTGCCTCATTGGGATTTTACAAATACATTTCAGCTACAAATTTGTTGCTACCGTCGATTAGATGTTGATTAAAGTGTATTGTGAAATGATAGTTTGGGCCACGGCAGGATTCGAACCGGTGACCACTGGGTTTCTGGCCCAGTGCTTTATTAACTGAGCTACTGAATCTGACTGCTAACCAGATCTTTATTTCACTTCAATCATCAAGAGTTTCAATCGACTGTCATGGGATGACGTTTGATAAACACTTCTCGTTCTCTAATTAAACTAGTTTTGGAGAGAGATGAGAAGTCTTAACTGGGCAACCAGAAAGAGGACGATTGAACGGTAGGAAAGCATCACAAAATTAACATAGCAGTTGGGCTAAACCCTTGTTGATTGAAGTGAAATAAAAATATGGTCATTAGTTGGGTAGCATACCTCAGTTACTAGAACACGGGGCCGGAAACCTGGTAATCGTTAGTTTGAATGTTGCCATACCTCAAGTTTTCACTCCACCTATAATCATCACTCAAGACAAATAATATTACTCGTTTGTAGCTACTATAGACTTATTTTACAGTAATTATGTGGAGGCAAACCTGAAACTAGGTTTCATTTTATTTTTTCTCAGCAAAACACATTTGTGATTCCTAAGAAACTTATATTTTACAGAAGGTTTTTATATGTTTAATCGAGCTGTTAGATAAACAGTCCATTAGTGGTTATCTGACCAAGTGTGTTGTATCCATGAAGCGGGTATCCTATGTTACATAATGTAGTCAGTCTTCTTTACATACCAAACCAGTCCCCAATTAGCTGAGCTTTAATTCACTTCAGACTTTGAAATAATGGAAAACATTTGTAGCTCAGCATGAGGATGTTGGTAGTTTAGTGTTCTCTGAGTTTTGATATTTTATCGTTAACGTCGCATAATCAGGCTTGATGACATCTTCAGCACTAAATTCATAAAGACGTGAAGAATTTTTCAATGTTACGAAAATGTTTAGATAGGGCTTTTATTGATTTTGGCTATAATCTAATCTCCAGTTGGGAAAAGAAATTTTTTATCACACCTTGACCTCTTTGACCTTAAATTTCCTTCAGTCTTGTCATCAAATATTCTTTATTGGAGTGAAATTGTGACGGTTGCTGTGTATCATTATTGGTTTGTCCAATCAATTTTCCCCTTGGTTACTGGATGACTGTTTTTCATCCAAAATAGATTATAGATTAGGTCAATATCCACACAACTGTTGATTGACTTTACGTTTGAATGCCATGTTTCTGGAAATTCTGTCGCAGCCTTGGAACGTACTCCTTTGAGGATCCTCACATTCTCCCAGTCAAATATACTTCCCTCGCTTATGAAGTTAGTCCCTAAGATGTCACCAAGCCTGGTGATGAACTGTTCAAGACAAAATATCAAAGCTCAGAGAACACCATTTCATCGTTTCAGACTTTGTTACACGTAAACAAGTTCTAAGTCTAAATTCACGACTTCGATACTGTTGCTGAATTAGCTGTGTATATTTTGGTCTCAGTCCACTATCTAGGTGATCTGGGTTAAAAAATATCAGCTGAGCCTTGGGATTTACACTTTGAGCTACAATTGTTTTGCACTAAAATGTTGTATTTTAATAAAAATTTAGTGATCCAGTCACTTTCAACACCTCGTCTAACTTGTTCTCAGTCAGGTTAACGATATACATCATCATCAAGGATGTATCTGCAGAACAGTGAGTAGAACAGTACACTAAAAAGAGTAGAAGTGCATTGATTGCTAATTATTTAAGTAGTCGATAAACAATGTTTAGGATAACGGTCATTACAACAGTTACTGCTTACTTCTAGTAATTCACATGTCTTTTTGTCTTTTGAAGGCCAATGTTGAAATGGACATGTTTCACAGTGAGTTAGGTTGACTACACGTTGATCAACACCGCAGGTTTCACATGACCAGCAACACTGTTGCTTCTTGTCCAAACGACGCACTTCACCAAATCTAAAATGGTTGGGAGGGAAAAGGAAAAAGGAGGATATTATGGGTTTCAAAATAATTCATGCTTAGCCTTAGTAATTAATACCAGTTGACAGGAGGTTTTCATATATTATATAGCTTACTGATAGCTAGTTGCATTATATATCTGTGACTTTAAGGAATTGGTTGATTGAATCTCGTACCACATTACTTAATACTGCGTTAAGAACCATCTTAGAAGAATAAAAACAGCTGGGACCGATCTCCTACCAAAATAATCTGTCACTAATTATTAAGTAATTTAATGTTTTCCAGTTCAGCTTTAACTAATCCTGAGTCGTCCATTTGTCTTCCAAGTATCATATGTTTATTACTAACGAAGGTTACCAAGCGCATAACTTATGTTGGTTCTCTTCTTTAATTTTCATCAGGTTTCAAAAATTAAAACAGTACATCAAGTTGTTGGGTCACTTAATGACCTTATTGCAGTCTTCTGTGCCAAAACCCATGCAATAAAAAGGAACCAGTGAATATGGCATCGGTTATTGTCCAGTATCTTATAGGGATAGACATCACCACTTAACTCTAGTTTAGGCTGTTGCTTAGAGTTTTCTTAGTTCAGTGTTTATCATAATGGTTGACACAAGTGGATTATTACTGTCAGCCATTGTATCCAATGACTCACTTTTATAAGTTACTTCTTAATTGGTCACAAGATTTATTGACTAGTATATATATATGCTCAACCGGTCTTTTATCCAAGTATCTAAATGAAGATTTTCAAAGCCCTGAAAGCAAAGTTTCAGACTGAAATGCTTTATTGAAGGATACTTTAAAGTGTGGTATCACGTTTGTTAGGATAAACCAGCCTTGTTTATGCTAATTAAAATATTTTGATATCTAGCAGAGCACAGTCTTTTAGCATAATTGTAAATCACTCCAGGATACATATTAACAAATCCCAAGTAGGGCATCATTGGTAATTGAGTTATACAGGCATACCTTTATAAAAGATCTTTGGAAAACATATTTCCAGAATTCTTTTAGTTAGGTAGTATTCATCACTGGCTGATATCATCTGGAGAAGAAATGAAAATGTAGGAGTACTGAATATGCTTTGTCCTAGTACGCAACTTCTCAACAGTACACACTTACTATCTCTAAAGGGATCCATCTCAGCATTTCTACATCTCTTAACGAACGCGTTACGCCTCTAGGAACTGAGTTCGATGTTCCACAATTTCTGACTTCTGTCAAACTGCGAAATAGAGCTACTATCCACTGAGGTCTTGAGTTGGCATCCGCTTCAATTCAGACTGCCTGACCTCACAGGTCGATGCTTTATATTAGAACTCGCAATATATATCTCAAAGCTGAAGAGTTTCATACCAGAAAGTAATAGCTGTCCAGTGCATCAAGGTTTTCGATGGTTCCCTAAATGATGTCACTTTGTGATGAATATTTCCTTTAGAGATAAAACCCATATTAACTGATTTCAAGGTAATACTCATTACGAAAGTGAAAAAAGGAGTGCATAATTTTCGTATCAATAAACCATTTGTTTAAATTTATACTTATGGAATATAGTGAGCATCCGGAATAGTATAGGGCTACTTAAGCGTATCTTTTATCAATCTAATTCATACTGATCACGCTGAAATGAACTTTATCCGTATCACTTACCAGATAATTGACATACAATTAAGTTCACTTCAACATTGATTGAAATGATTGAAATTGAACTGGCTGTTTTCTTATTAAAATAATTTAATAATATGTTAATATACATAGGGATTTAAAGAAAAGGTTAACATGGCTATTTTTTTTCCTATGATTCATCATAGCTGTCAACCGAAGAACTCAGAACAGCTCACTTCTCTTCATTTTTGGCCTCAATTATTTGTTACAAACGAGATGAATGCATATCATGCTAGGTGGCGTTTCAGTCTTTGAAATGGTAGTTGCTGGTCGTTTTAAGCAGTAACTAAACAACACTTTCAAGCTTCTGTTTTTTTAATCAGTGATACACCTAATAAATAATAATAGGAAAACTCCCAGGTTTCTTCATTCGTCAACATACTGTCAGTGGTTGATTAGTTCTAATCGCTACATGTTAAAAAATGGAATAATAACCAAATCAGCCTTATTTTTTTTACTGCATTCAGCTAGGTATGAAGTTCTAGTGTATTTGTAGTTTACCAACAATGTTTTGTATCATTAGATTTGTCCAAATTTATACATTTATCACACTGAACACTTCAAGTAATGAAAGGCTTGAAGCATTGGACATCTGTTTTGTCCTACTGTAATCTACTCGCCTGTAAACCTGAAGGTCGCGGATTTGACCCCTGGGAGATCCTAGGTTTGCACTCCTGATGGATCCCATACTGAGACAAAATAGTTGTCCAGTGCTCCCAGGTGAATGCCAACGTGAAATCTTTAAATTCACACAAACCTCCAAACTAACATAATATTAGACGCTTTTGTAAGGGAAAATATACCAGTATAATTGTAAAACTGAATGAAAACAGACGAATACTATACGTTTGGTGTGATCTGATACGCCATCCTGGCAACTGTGTTTTTGACTTGAGAGGAAGTTGGTTAGTTCAGTCATTGTTAGGGCAGCCTTTACATTCACTAATTGTTTTGTTTTCTTTTCGAATGATTACTATACCTTGATGGAATTACTTTCAAGATTTCATGGAGTATATTTTCGAAAGATTTTTCATTTGTAAACAATTCTTCACGACTGAAAGACATAAAGCTTAAAATTTTAGTCATTAGATAGAAACGCATGAAGCTGTTGGGTTATATGATACGAGTGACTTTAAATGCCGCCATAGCAACGACTAAAATTGGGAAACAGGCTTCTCTATGTCATGAAAACGTGCTATAGAGCAGAAACAGGCCTAATTAATTAGTTGAGTCATTGCAAGGGTGTCCTTTAAGGTTACTCGTATGACACAAGATTACTTCTTGTTAAATAAGGTAGTTTTTAAGGCCATTCCATCAACGACTGAAATAATCACTTACGTTCATTTACTTTGAGAAAAACTACTTTTTAGGTGGTATTTCGAAGTCTAAATGGTTATCTCATCAGTTACTAGGGCCACCTTTAAAGTCACACGCAAAAAACAACCACAATTACCCCCGGCTTATACAGTCTCCATTCTCCTATTTTAAACAACATAGTTATTTTTTCTTGAATATAGTAACTTATAATCAAACCTTTTGGGCTTCATATACGTCTACATGATGTTTGCTAACTAGCAAACAATTCACCTACAGAGCCTCCTGCTCACTGACTCCAATCCTCTGACACCTCATAGATTCTTTATGTATACTTATTACTAGTGGAAAGCCTTATTTTTCACTTCATGAAAAGTAACATGGTGCTCCGATACAAAGTAACTATCGAATCCAATCCGTAAAACAGCACAATTTCAGTTTTTTATGATAAGACTCAGTTGCACAGGATACGACAATTTTTCACACAAAAATCAGGTTTTACATCGAATTTTACAGGATCATTTAAAAAAAGGTCAACTTTAATAAACAACAGATTTGTTATTTGGAGAGGATGATCAATGAGAAGGTTTGTTACTAGTTATCGTGCTTGTTAGCACCTGTCAATGAGGGGTATTTTCAATCTTAATGGAAGTGATGACCCTTTATGGGGTTCGAAACTGCATCAGTTAATATGTTTAACACTATGGTGAAGACTTATTACATAGTTTTCGTGCTCAAACATTACTTAACGCTTGAACGTCTGAATACTTTACTCAATATGCATGATACAGTATTGTGATAACTTTTAATCGACGTGTATTGAGATTACTATAGGAAAAAGCTGCATCTGAGAGGTTAGGAAATTTTCATATAATCACTTTTAACTATGCTGTATCAGCATCCACGAAGTATACAGCTACTGTAATGTCTCAAAATTTTCTTATAAGGAGTACTTGATGGAAGTTTACAGATAGAAATTTCTTCTGTTCAATAATAAACCCCAATTCAACAACCTGTTGCACATATGTAGAGTTCTGCTTTTACTTATAGCAGTTGTCTTTTAATCGTTGTAGTTTTGAAAGTAAATTTTTTGAGGCTAACTTGGATTTTATTTTTAGGGTAGTAATGATGATGGACTGACATTAGCTGAAGGACCACTGAAAACCTGCAAGCACTGGACATTTGATCCGTCCTAGTATGGGGTTCCCTAATAGTACTCCAACCCAGTAGCAGAATGATTCACATGTTCACTGTGAAAACTGTAAGTTTTGAGTTGGATCCCTGACGAGGTCATAGGTGTACTGTCGAGGAGTTTCATACCAGGATGAAACAGATGGCCAGTGATCCAAGGTTTTCGTTGTTTCTCCAATTCGCGTGAGTTCGTAATGAATATTACTTTGGAAATAAATTTTGATTTCCATACTAGATTACTGATCTCAGCTAAAATACCTCACTTGTTTATCACACCACTGGCTTACTCAGGACAATAGGTTTCACTAAGATTCTGTACCTGATAAACAACCATGAAAAAATAAAAGAGTTTATGCAGGAGTTTTCAGTTTAATAGGAAATCGATTTTCGTTGAGTAGGTTGAAACGTACGAAGTGCCTTCAACTTTGATTGAATCACAGAGAATGTTTTTTATTTCTGTTTGCAATTTTTTAGACCTTGAAACTTGCAGTAGTGGAGTCGATAGGTCATGACAGATATATTTCCACTTTAGAACAAGTTATCAGTATAAAATATGTTGTTTCATTTAAAGAAACAAGGATATTGAACTCAAGTTTAAGGTATTTATCTGCTGCTGTATAAGTATGCTGGAAGATAATGATTTCTTATGGAAAGTGCTTGAAATATTTTTCAGTCTCTAGAATAAAATTACATGTTTCTTTCGAAAAACTATCTGAACATTATTCACGGTCACCTGCAGTGTTATGCTAACATAGTGAAAGGAGGGAGAACATGAAAGCGGAGGTGAGCAGTAGCATAAACAGCACAAAATGAAGATGTAG